AAAGTGCTGGAATTACAGGTGTGAGCCACCGCGCCCAGCCAGTGTCATGTTTTCTTAGTTGTTTATGATCTTTGTGAACTTGCTTTGGTGTTGAACATTTGAAGAAGTAGGTATCCCTTATAGTCTTTACAGACTTGCTTTGGTAGTGAAAGCCCTTCATCAGAGATACTGGGTGAACTGTATAGTGAAGTTTGTAGGTGGGATTACTGCTGAAGTTATCAGACATGCTGATCTGGTGCCAGAGTCAACAAGTGGATGGACCTGAGGACTGTGTCCATGGGAACCAGCCTGAAGTCTGGGTCCACAGAGGTTCAACTGGTACTGGGCTGGTTTGGACATAGGCCAATAGGATGCCTTGGTCCTGAGCTTATAGGGGTCTACCTGCTTCCAGGATCTGCTCTGGCAGGCCTGGACTCTAGGTCCACTGGAGCATAGGGTCACAAGAACCAGCCTGGAGCCTGGGTCTGGGCTGGGGCACAGTTGGGTCTGGAGTCCACAGGGGTCAGTCTGAAGCTTGAGGCTGTGGGTGCTGTCCTAGGGATATGAAGGCCAGCCTGGAGTCTGTGTTTTTAGGTATGGTTCTGAAGCTTTGGTCTCTAGGAGCTGGCCTGGCATTGGGGTCTCCTGGGCCAGGTCTGGATATTGGGTGTGGTGGAGTAGGTTTGAACCCTGGGTTTGCTGGAGTGTAGGACCATGGGAGCCAGCTTAGAGACTAGAGCCACAGGGGCTGGGTAGGCTGACAGCCTGTATCCATGGGGGTCATCCTGGACCTTGGGTCTATGGGTGCCAGCTTTGTGCCTTGAGCTGAGGATGCCAACTTGGAGTCTGGGTCATTGGGGGCCAGCTGGTCATTGGTTTCAGTGGAGGAGTCCTACTGCCAGGTCCACAGCAAAGTTCACTTTATTCTCCATCCTCCAATATGAAGAGTTTCTCTCACCACACTATAATTTCTGGGCTTGGGTGAGTGATGAACTGGGTAATGCAAAACTGTCCTTCTTAACCTCTTTAATGTTTCTTTTCCTGTTTCTGTGCTACACCAAGGTGCTCTAATCTCTTACTTGGATTATTTAGTTCTTGTGAATGTTTGTTCATGAGTAAATAGATGTTTAAATTGATGTGAGGGCTAAGTGCTGGCAAGTCTCATTCTGCCATTTTGCTAACATTACTCTTGTTAAGGTTTTCTATTCTTTAATCAGTGATAGTTTGTGTGAAGAATTGTTCCTTTGTTCCTTTCCATTTAGTTTATTTTGTTGGCATAGCATTGTTTATAATATTTTCTTTTTTTTTTTTTTTTGAGACTGAGTTTCACTCATGTTACCCAGGCTGGAGTGCAATGGCGCGATCTCGGCTCACCGCAACCTCCGCCTCCTGGGTTCAGGCAATTCTCCTGCCTCAGCCTCCTGAGTAGCTGGGATTACAGGCACGCACCACCATGCCCAGCTAATTTTTTGTATTTTTGGTAGAGACGGGGTTTCACCATATTGACCAGGATGGTCTCGATCTCTTGACCTCGTGATCCACCCGCCTCGGCCTCCCAAAGTGCTGGGATTACAGGCTTGAGCCACCACGCCCGGCCTAATATTTTTCTATAATCATTTTCATTTCTGTAAGGTTAGTAATGTCTCCATTTTCAACTCTGACTTTAGTAATTTGAGTCTTTATTTTTTTTTTTTTTTTTGAGACAGAGTCTCACTCTGTTGCCCAGGCTGGAGTGCAATGGCGTGGTCTTGGCTCACTGCAACTTCCACCTCCTGTGTTCAAGAGATTCCCCTTCTCAACCTCCCAAGTAGCTGGGATTATAGGCACCTGCCACCATGCCTGGCTAATTTTTGTATTTTTAGTAGAGATGGGGTTTCACCATGTTGACCTGACTGGTCTTGAACTCCTGACCTCATGATCCACCTGCCTTGATCTCCCAAAGTGCTGGGATTATATGCATGAGCCACTGCGCCAGGCCTCATATGAGTCTTTTCTATTTCTTTTCCTCAGTCAATCAGCTAAGGTTTTGCTACTTCATTTGATCTTTTCAAAGAATCACTTTTAATTTTGTAATTGTTCTCTATTATATTTCTATTCTCTATTTTATTTAACTCCACTCTTATCTTTATTATTTCCTTCCTTTTCTTCCCCCCCCCTTTTTTGCTATTTTTCATGTTCTAATTCCTAAAGTTGTATAGTTAGGTTATTGATTTGACATCTTTTTTTTTTATAGGCATGTAGAACTATAAATTTTTCTCTTAGTAGTAAGCATATTATAAGCTTTGGTAACATGTGTTTTTATTTGTATTTATCTAAAACATTTTCTAAATTCTCTTTTTATTTGTTCTTTAATCCTTTGGTTAAGATTGTATTGATTTGACACAAGACAAAGATGTCTTCTCTTAGTACTCCTATTCAACATAGAAATTCAACTGAATTTCAGTTATCAGAATTTGCCAACATGAAGACAATGGGATTTAGTCTTAAAAATTAAGAGAGAAACTGAATGAATTAAGTCATGAAATATCAGATGGCATACAGGATTTAATTTTGAAATTCTTCAATTTTGCTTAGGGATTTCTTCAGCTATGGGGATAGATTTTTGATGATGCTCCAAATTTTAACTGGATCAATTTGCAATTTGTGTCAGAATGGAGTGTAATTGAGAAGCCTTATGTTCCTCTAGCATCCAAATTTGGCTTAACATTCAAAGAAATCATATATAGAGCCAATATGTTTGCCTCGTAAAGATAATTTTCAAAGAAATGTACCCTTTCTAGACAAGGTAGCAAAAAAAGAGATGTACCTTGAAGGTAAGATATATTAACTGCTAGAATATTAACTGCAATCTAATTTTTCCATATTCAATATTCACAATACTCGCGAGGATATCTCCCATTTCATTGGATATATTCTGAGATTTCTGGTTACCTTAGTATATACAGAACATACATCTCAATTTTAAAAGTATGGTGTTCAGAGGAGAGTCATTTGAAGGTAGCTATAATTTTAAGTTTATTAACCATAAAGTCCAACATTGAAGATTACATAAAATTTTATCAAAATTTAAAAATAATAGACCATATTGAAAGAAAATACTTAAAAACCCTGGTGATATTGGTTAAGAAATTGATTAAAGTATCAGAATATACTTAAATATATGTATTCTGCTTCTGTTTATTCTAATGTTTAGTCAACATAAATAGCTTAAAAATTTTTTTCCTTACTACAAAAATGTTATTTTGCTTTAACATACATATGTTATTGTTTTACCCTTTAGGATATAACATAATATTATAATTAATAAAGGAATTTTTTAAACACTACATAATTTCAATTGCCTTAGTATTCATACCTTTTCAAATTTGTACTACTTTGGACAATATATTATATGCTCAGCTATTATTGCTTTCTAATTTAATTCCATTTTTGTCAAAGAATATGCTTTGTATGACTTGAATCCTCATACATTTATTGAGACTTGTTTTATGGCCCAGAATATGGTCTATACTGGTATGTATCCCCTGTCCACATAGATGAATTTTCCTGTCATTGAGGAGAGTGTTCCACAAATGTAATGAGATCAAGTAAGTTGATGTGTTGCTCAAATCTGCTATATCCTGTTGCTTTTCTGTGTTTGTTCTATTAATTACCAAGAGAGATATATTGAAATATCTGACTATAATTGTGGATCTGTCTCCTTTTTGATCTAACAGGTTTTTCTTCACATACTTAGAAGCTTTGCTTTTAGGAGCAAAATTTAGGTTTGTTCTTTCCACTGAATGAACTGTCTGCTTTATCATTATTATGATAAACCCTACTTTATCCCCAGTAATAGTCTTTGTCCTGAAGTTTACTTTGTTTTTAGTAAAGTCACTCCACCTTTCTTTTGACTAGTGTTAGGATGGTGTATATTTTTCCCTCCTTTGACTCGTAACCTACTAGTGCTTTTCATTTAACATATTACCTGTAGGCGGCACACATTTGGATCTGACTTTTAAAAAAATCCAATTGGACAATCTTTTTAGTTAAGGTGTTTAGGCCATTTACATTTAATGTTATTGATATGGTTGAGTTAATTATCTTGTTATTTTTTCTGTCATAATTCTGGAATGAAAAGACGTTTTGTTCTTTATTATTCCATGTTTCTTCCTTGTGTAGCGTAGGAAACTAGAAAAATGATTTTAAAAGTTCAATATTGCTAGACTACAACAGTGAAATCAGGCTCTTGCTAGGAAAAACAAGCCCTCTTTTGCATTTGTTTATGTTATTTTAACTAAGTGTTAATTGTTCATCCTTCAAGATAAGGCAAGTAATTCTTTATGTACTCTTATCCGTTTCCATGTCATCCTGAATCACATTTTTCTCTGCAGATAAGAGGAGCATTGTCTCAAAGAATCCAGGACATTTGATTCTGAAATCTCCAATGTAAACCACACTTCCCCTCCTAGTATATAACCAATCAATTCTTCAAGCTTTTCAAATTTACTGTGAGTCCCCTTCAAATACCAGAGAAGTGGAAGCTGGGGTCTGAGATAAAGAGGTTAAAGCAGCTACATCTTGACATAATTTTACTTTAAGTTCTTTCCTCTTTAAAAGTTCTGCTCATTTGCGTTCTTCTCCAAGGAGAGAAAAAGTAAGTTACACTGACGCTCCGAAAGGGAAATGCTCCTCTCAGATGGGGATCCTCGCCCATGGCAGCAATTTGTGCACCCCGGGGATGGAACTCCTACGAATCCACTAGGCTCGGCTTCCTTAAGAGTCAGCCCCGGTTGTATGCTGGGGTCAGCCTGAACAGATGAGAGCTCAAGGCTTCTGAGGCTCTTTCTGCTCAGAACTGTATTTCCCAGCGGCCACCGCGCCGATCCACTTCCGGTCTCCACGGGTTGACGACATAGTGGGGTGAGATCTTCACGTCCGAGGAAGAGATCGGTGGCTTCGGGAGGTCACTGCGGACTGGGGCTTGAACCTGACCGACCCGACAGTGCGGGTGGGCGAGGGAGGCGCTCAGAGTAGGAATCTGCCGGATCGCCTGGCGTGCGTGTGCGCGGGCATCAGAGGGGGGGGACTGTGCGATCATGAGTGACGGAGGGGACTGTGTGAGTGTGTGCGTGAGGCCCTGTGCACAGGCTCGGGAGCGCGGGTGGACGCAGCGCACTTTGCTGGGGCTGTGTGTATATCACTGCCCCTAGGCTCCTGCTGCTTCCTCCGTCTTTCCCCTTCACAGCTGCGGGGGCTGCAGCAGAGGAATGGCTCCAGTAGGGAGGTCAGATATTGAGCCGAGAATGAAGCTTTCCACAAGAAGTACAGAAGTACCCCCAAGTGTTCCCCAGGAGGGCAGCTGCATGTTGAGAACCACGGCGTCCTCAGTCAGAGCTCTGTCCCCAGGAACCAGCTCCAAACTGGTTGTATTGGTTGAACCGATTCCTCCTCTTTTTACTTCCTTCCCATTTTGTGTGAAGTGACGGAAATTGTGGCCGTGGAGGGAGGGTGCTTTTAAACTTAGTCTGCTCTCCAAGAAGAACCTGGAGTCTCAGGCTTGTCTTATCCTTCCCCAATCGTATTATTCAAAAGAAGGACCTGAAGAAGGATGAGAGCGTTGTTGTTGCACACCTAAAAGTCAAGGATGAGGTTGTGCTTTGTATTTGTTCAAGAAATGTGTTTTTGATTTTAGAATATTGAGGTTCCTGTAAATTTTCAGTGAATCTAGGGGGATAGGCAAATTGATTTGTGTCCCCTCCCATCGTGCCCCCTCCCTTACCTTTCCACTTAATATTCACAAAGCCATTTGGCAAAATGTTCACACCTTCCTGTGCACTCTCTTTTGCTAAGCTAGTACTGAAAGACATCTCCAGTAGTTAATATTAAAGCACCATTTTAGACTCTTATTTGGGAAGGAGGAGATTAGTGTTTAGGTGGAATCACACACCAGACATCTGTTGGGCTTTACAGACCTCCTTTTCAAAACAGGGAAGCATGGAGATGGTTGGATGACTTCAATTCGTCTGTGAGGCTTTCAGGAGTGGGAAAGTGACCGCACAGAAATTGGTATCAACAAGATTCAGGATTTTTCCAGGAAGTCCTTGGGATGACATTTGTAATACTTGCCAGATCTCTCTGAGGTTTGGCAGCTCCAGTCCTGTTTTGGGCGTTTGTGTGTGTGACTGTGGACTGTAAGAGGCAGTACACTACTGTGGTTAAGAATAGGAGAGTGGATCCAGAGTATCTGGGTTGGAATGCTGGTTCTGTCATTAGAATGAATTAATATTGTAAAGCCCATTAGAACAGTGCCAGGCATAAAATAATGTTTAATATGTTTTCACTGTTGTTTTTGTGTGGTCATTTTAAGTAATTCCCCTTGACTTTCTATAGAACAGGAGCATTAGGAATATGTGATTCATTGTGATTGCTGCTTGTACATTAAGAAAATGAGTGAGATGCTCAAATGATCTAGGACAGAAATTCTTTTTAAATCGGCAGATACAACTGTATGTATTTATCATATGCAACATGTTGTTTTATGGTATGCATACGTTGTGGAATGTCTAAATCTAGCTAATTAACCATGCAGTACCTCACACAGTTATCATTTTTGTGGTAAAAACACTTCATGTCCACTCTCCTAACATTTTTCAAGACTACAGAATATTGTTATTAATTGTAGATACTGTGTTGTGTAATAGATCTCTTGAAATTATTTCTTCTGTCTTTCTGAAATTTTATATCATTTGACCAACATTTCCCCAGTCAACACTGCTATCCTTCTCTCCCTCACCCACATTACCCCAGATCTGTAAATACCATTCTACTTTCCACTTCCATGACATCAACTTTTTAGATTCGGCTGATGAGTGAGATCATGTTCTTTCTGTGCCTGACTTACCTCACTTAATATGATGTTCTCCAGGTTTATCCATGTTTTTGCAAATGACAGAATTTTCTGCTTTTTATGGCTAAATAGTATTTCCTTGTGTATATGTACCTGCATATATGCTACATTTTCTTTGTCCATTCATTCATTGATAGACATGTAGGTTGATGCCATATCTTGGCTGTTGTGAATAGTGCTGCAATAAACATGAGTGTGCTGATATCTCTTTGACACACAGATTTCATTTCCTCTGGATATATACCCAGTAGTGGGATTGCTGGATCATATGGTAGTTCTATTTCTAATTTTTTAAGAACCTCCATACTGTTTTCCTTAATGGCTGTGTCACTTTACATTCTCACCCACAGTGTGCAAGGGTTCCCTTTTCTCTACATTCTCACAAACGCGTCTTAACTTTTGTCTTTCCAATAGCCACCCTGACATATATGAGGTGATATCTTATTGTAGGTTTAATTTTCATTTCCCTTATGATTAGTTGAGTATTTTTTCATATACTGTTGGCCATTTATATGTCTTTTGGGATGTGCCTATTCAGGTCCTTTGCCCATTTTTTTTTTTTTTTTTTTGAGGCGGAGTTTCACTCTTGTTACCCAGGCTGGAGTGCAATGACGCGATCTCGGCTCACCGCAACCTCCGCCTCCTGAGTTCAGGCAGTTCTCCTGCCTCAGCCTCCTGAGTAGCTGGGATTACAGGCACGCCCCACCATGCCCAGCTAATTTTTTGTATTTTTAGTAGAGACGGGGTTTCACCATGTTGACCAGGATGGTCTCGATCTCTTGACATCATGATCCACCCGCCTCGGCCTCCCAAAGTGCGGGATTACAGGTATGAGCCACTGCGCCCGGCCCTCTTTGCCCATTTTTTAATCAAGTTTTATTTTTGCTGTTGTTTGGCTTCCTCATATATTTTGGATATTAACCTCTTATCATTTAAATGGTTGCAAATATATTCTGTCATTCTGTTGGCTGTCTCTTCACTTTGTTGACTGTTTCTTTTTCTGTGCAGAAGCTTTTAAGGTTGATATAATTTCATTTGTTCATTTTTGCTTTGTTGCCTGTGTTTTTGAGGTCAAATCCCAAAATCATTGCCCAGATCAGTTTCATCGCGCTTTCCCCTCTATGTTTTCTTTTATTTATTTCATAGTTTAGGATCTTAAAATTAAGTGTTTAATCCATTTAGAGTTAATTTTTATATAATGGTTTGAGATAAGGGTCTAATTTCATTTTTCTGCATATGGATACTTACTTTTCACAACAGTATTTTTTGAAGAGTCTGTCTTTTCCCCATTGTATGTTCTTGGCACCCTCCTCAAAAATCAGTTGGTTATAAATGTATGGACTTTTTCTGGGCCTCTCTAGTCTGTTTCTTTGGTCTATGTGTCTGTTTTTATGTCAGTATACTGTTTTGATTACTATAGCTTTGTAGTATATATTGAAGCAGGTAGTTTGATGCCTCCAACTTTGTTCTTTTTGCTCAAGATTGCTTTGGCTATTTGGGTCTTTTGTGGTTCTATACAAATTTTAGCAATTTTTTTTTTCTATTTCTGTAAGGTATGTAGGACTGAAATTCTTAACCTGAGTTCCTGTGATCCCATTTATGGTCTCGGGGACCAAAAGCACTTGAAATAAAATATTGAAGCAGGTAGAAATTATAAATGTGGATTTTAGAGGGAGAAGTAGTATATAATTTCATAAGATTATAAAAAATTTATGTGACTCATGAGGTTTGGATCGATTGGTTTAGATAGAACATTGGTTCTCAGCTGGGGCAATGTTTAGAAACTTTTGGTTGTCACACTGCTGGGGAGGGTCCTACTTAGATCTAATGGACAGAGGTCAGGAATGCTGCTAAATATTGTATTATACACAGAATAGCTCTCCCCACTCCCCCAACTAAGAATTATCCAGCACAATATGCCAGTAGTGCCTAGGGTGAGAAACCGTGGTCTAGAATCAAAAGATTGTGATATCTGGAATGACATTGTAAATGATCTTGTATAAACCAAGTATTCTGTAATATAGAAATCATTAAGCAAATCATACTAGACTCAAGTGATAAGAGTATTATGCAGGTAATAAAATGATGTCCCGTGGATGTAGCAAGAGCCTGGTTTCCTCCATACTCCACATGTTCACTGCCAGTTTATTTGTGAGAGTGTGTGTGTGGGGACAAGGAAAGTGATGAGAGAGGGGTGGGAGTGTGCATGTCAGCAGGAGGGGTTGAGAAATAGGGATGGAGGAAAAAATAATTATTTGTTTCAAGTCACTCTGGGAGCATTGAGACATAGCTTGACTTATGGCCTTTTTTGTTGTTTTCCAGGAGAAAAGCTGGAAGAAGATTGACCAGTTTTATAATTCTAAAAACATGGTCCATGTAAGTTGGTATTTCTCTTTTCTCCTTGATATATGGTGACTTTCAGCTTAGGCGACTGTTATTATTTAACCTGAAGCTTCTTACCTAAGGAGCCAAAGTCTTACACCCCAGTTTGTCCCATTACAGGGAAGGTTGGTGACAAAAAAAAAAAAAAAAGTCAGTGCTCTTCCTGTTTGTACCTCTGCTTTCCTACTGGCTTTGATTTTTTCTTGGAGCAGTTTATTCTATCTGTGCTCTGTGCTCAGACCTTGATCAGGAAGAATACTGGAACAGTGGAGAAGTCAGTCCCCATAGGGAAACAGGGTTTTGTGGGTTTGATAAGTGACAGATGATTGACCACATTTGGGAACACTTTGAAACTTCAGACTGGAGCTTTCCAGGTAGCTAAGGTAGAATTCCATTGTGAGTGGCCCCAGTCTGCAAATGTGACAAGGTGATCTGCTTTATGAGGCTTTTAGGGAAATGATCAGTGACAACAGTGGGCAGTGACAGGGAGATTATTTGGGGTATGAGTGATAGGTGATTACAGACTCTCTGGCCAGATGTGGTGGCTCACGCCTGCAATCCCAGCACTTTGGGAGACTGAGGCTAGTGGAGGTCAGGAGTTTGAGACCAACCTGGCCAACATGGTGAAACCCCATCTCTGCTAAAAAAAAAAAAAAAAAAACAAAACCAAAAATTAGCCTGGTGTGTTGGCACATACCTGTAATCCCAGCTACTCAGGAGGCTGAGGCAGGAGAATCACTTGAACCTAGGAAGTGGAGGTTACAGTGAGCCGAGATCATGCCGTGGCACTCCAGCTTGGGTGACAGAATGAGACTCCATCTGGCCATCCTAAATGTATAAATAGAAAAAAATGATTAAATCTAATATGTCAGTTATATTGACTTTCATGCAGCTTATAAAAAAGCATTTGCCATGACAAGAAAAAAATACTTTTGTTATCATCTCATACCACATGAACTTGAGGATTAAGAACATTCTTCAATTGTATGCAACTCCCACCTTTTTTTTTTTTTTTTTTTTTTGTCTGAGACAAGGTCTTGCTCTGTAGCCCAGGCTAGAGTGCAGTGGTGTGGTCACAGTTCACTGTAGCCTTGAACTGCTGGGCTCAAGTGATACTCCTGCCTCAGCCTCCTGAGTAGCTGGGACTTAGGTACGTGCTACCACTCACAGTTACTTGTTTAATTTTTGCAGAGATGGGATATCATTATGTTTCCCAGGCTGGTCTCAAACTCCTAGGCTCAAGCAATCCTCCCACCTCTGCCTCCCAAAATGCTGGGACTATAGGCATGAGCCACCATGCTCAGCCAGCAGCAGGCTTCTTTCTTGAAGAATGTGTAGCCATTCTGTGAATTTCCATATTGCTCCTTTCTTACAGTTCAGTCCTTTACTTCCTCTCCTTTCATCTTGAAACAATTTTCTTCAATTTTACCATAATATATGTGTTTGTGGTTTCAGGGATCAGTGACATTCAGGGATGTGGCCATCGACTTCTCTCAGGAGGAGTGGGAGTGCCTGCAACCTGCTCAGAAGACCTTGTACAGGGATGTGATGCTGGAAAACTACAGCCACCTGATCTCACTGGGTAAGGTCCTCTGCCCCAGTTAATTTAGCATCTGTTCTCTGGAATATCAGCTTTCTTCACCATGAATTTCAGGGCTATCTTTTTAAGAGGTAGCTGAATTCCTTCTTCTTGTTCCCAAAGGAGTGATTTGAGATTTGTTGGGCTGAAAACAGGCACCTCCCTGGAGCCCCTGCATCTTGCCTACTCCACGGTGGCCTCCTCCATTACGCTGGTCCTCTCTGTAATTTCCTCTCTCTCTCTTCATGACTATGGGACTGAATTTGAAATTAATTGAATGTACAAGGTTTCAAATTCAGTCCCATAGTCATGAAGTTACTTGTTCTTCAAACACAATGTGGAACCATGTTCTTGGACAATAACTCCCATAGTCATGAAGTTATTGTCCAAGAACATGGTTTCATATTATCGTCCAAGAACATGATTTCATATTATGTACAGTGATGAAGTTATTGTCCAAGAACCAGGTTTCATATTATGTTTGATCTCAGAATTACTGTAGATTTTCTTTGTTTATTGATTGGTTTTTGTTTTTCTGATCCACCTGTAAGGAGAAGAGTGTCTTGAATTTTTCTATCAAAAGAACCACTATTATCACTGGGAGGCTGAGTCTGCAGTGAGGTGTACCCATCACTGCACTCCAGCCTGGGCAACAGAGTGAGACCCTGACTCAAAAACAAACAAAAATATCTGTGATTTACATGTAGTGATTGGGTTGACAGAATTCACTTAACACTAAAGTGAATGAATACATTCCAATGCCTTCAACAAACATTCTGTTACTTGTTTTGTAGTTGAAAGTTTCAGGCCATGAAGTTTATGTATTTTCATTGAGTGAATATACTGAATGAGCTGTACATGTCTAAGCATGCAAAATAAATGACAATAAACGTAATAATTCTTGACTTTGTGCGACTGCCTATCAGGCAATGTTAGAAGTATTTTACACATATTAACTTGTTTAGTCTTGGTATCAATCATATCAATATAAAATACTAGCAATATAAAATTTACTATCAATATAAAATAGGTATTATATCATCCCCATTTTAGAGTTCAGAAAACCAAAGGACAGAGTTTAAGTGACTTACCTGAGGTCATACTGCTAGTGAGTCGCAGAGACAGGATTTGAACGTGGCAGTCTGGCTTGAAGTTTCCTGCTCTCAGACACTCAGTTATACCTCTTTTCGAGGGATAAGATTCTAAGTTTAAATGAAACTAAGTCCTTTTCTAACATAGAGTTCTCTTATTCAAACTCTCACTCTTATCTGAAGTCTCTTCTCAATATTGTTTTGACTTATAATTTATTATAAGTTTAACCAACTTTCAAAGACTTGAATACCGAGACCAGCTCGGCCATAGAGACCCCACCCAGGTGGCGCTGAAGGCATTAAGAAGCAGACACCCAGATAGAACAGCAAAGTGGGACTATTCAGGGGGCCAACAGACTTCCGAGCTGAGAGCCTCAAAGGGCTGACAGCATTCTGGGCATAAGGGCCTCCAGCAGACTCTGACCACGTATCTCTGAACAGGTGATTATTATTAACAGCAGGTGTCCTGTGTTTTCTCATAGAACCAAGGTAAACTAGGTAGGCAGCTGGTGCCTACTTACCACTGATCACAGAAAAACTAAAAAGTATTCTCCACGAGGGAGCCACGGGGCAGGGTCACATATCCCATGCTTAAAGAATTGTTTTAACCGGCGTATGATATATATACACTGTCTTGCCACTTAGAATGCCCCAAGTAGTTTTCCACTGTTGGGGGCGGGAGCTAGGGGGAGCGGCTAGGTTTTCCTTGCCATCGCTCTCTTGCTCTTCTTAGCAAACAATATATTTTATCATACGCTCAGCATTTCTCAGCAATCATACACTCAGCATTTCTCAACATTTGAAAAAAAAGTACATTAAAAAAAAATTCTGTATGTGTCATTTCTTTTAATCAGGAAGTTCCATTTCTAAACCAGATGTGATTACCTTACTAGAGCAAGAGAAAGAGCCCTGGATGGTTAGAAGGAAAGAAACAAACAGATGGTATCCAGGTAAGTGAGAGGGTAAGCAGGCAGGGGGAAGCCATCATTGTCCCGGACAGCCCATGTGCTCAGGAAGGAGTCACACCCGTGAGCTGTGGTTTAAAAAACTTTAATAACCCAAGGGCTGTTGGACAAAAATGCCCAAGACCTGGGAAGGAAATAAAGATTACAGCAGGAGATATCCCTTAATCACCTAATTTCTGTTCTCTTATGTCCTTCCCCTTTTAGTGGAGTAAGTGACCTCTTTTATTCCCAGTGTAAACTTTTTTGTTTGTTTTAGATGGAATCTTGCTCTGTCCTTCAGTGTGCAGTGCAGTGGTACAATCTTGGCTTACAGCAACCTCCGCCTCTCGGGTTCAAGCAATTCTCATACCTCAGCCTCCCAAGTAGCTGGGATGATGTGTGCCTGCCACCACAGCTGGCTAATTTTTGTATTTTTAGTAGAGATGGGGTTTTGCCAGTTGGCCAGACTGGTCTCGAACTCCTGACCTCACGTGATCTGCCCGCCTCAGCCTTCCAAAGTGCAGGAATTATAGGCATGAGCCACCATGCCCAGCCCATTTGTCAACTTTTTAATTGTTTTTTTGTTTTGTTTTGTTTTGTTTTTTTGCTGCTATTTGGGTCTCTTGTCAGAGAAATAGTTTGCAAATAATTTCCCTCATTTAATTTTGTCTACTCCCCCTGTTGATAGTTCCTTTGCTGTGCAGAAGCTTTTTAGTTTAATATAGTCTTATTTGTCTATTTTTGTTTTTGCTCCCTATGCTTTTGCAGTGTTAACCAGAAAATTTTTGCCTAGATCAAAGTCCCAAAGCACTTCCTTCATGTTTTCTTTCAGTAGTTTTATAGTTTTGAGTTTTACATTTAATCTTTAATCCATTTTCAATTGATTTTTGTATATGGTGAGAGATAGGGGTCTAGTTTCATTCTGTTGCATATAGATATCCAATTGTTTCAGCACTATTTATTTTTGAGATGGAGTCTTGCTCTGTCACCAGGCTGGAGTGCAGTGGCAGGATCTTGGCTCACTGCAATCTCTGCCTCCTGGGTTCAGGCAATTCTCCTGCCTCAGCGTCCCAAGTAGCTCGGATTACAGGCATGTGCCACCACACCCAGCTAATTTTTGTATTTTTTTTTAGTAGAGATAGGGTTTCACTATGTTGTCCAGGATGGTCTCGATCTCTTGACCTTGTGATCTGCAGGCCTCAGCCTCCTGAAGTGCTGGGATTATAGGCATGAGCCACCGCACCTAGCCCTATTTATTTATTTTTGATTATTATTTTTCAATTTTTATTTTAGGTTCAAGAGGTACATGTGTGGGTTTTTTATAAGAGTAAATGGCATGTTGTGGTGGGTTTGGTGTACAGATTATTTTACCACCCAGGTAATAAGCATAGTACTCAATAGACAGTTATTTGATCTTCACCCTCCTCCCACCCTCCACCCTCAAGTAGGCCCTGGTGTCTGTTGTTCTGTTCTTTGTGTCCATGTGTACTCAGTGTTTAGCTCCCACTTGTGAGAATATGTAGTATTTGGTTTTCTGTTCCTTCATTAATTTGCTTAGAATAATGGTGTCCAGCTCCATCCATGTTGCTGCACATGATCTTGTTCTTTTTTACGGTTGCATAGTATTCCTTGGTATATATGTACTGCATTTTCTTTGTCCAGGTAACCGTTGATGGACATTTAGGTTGATTCCATGTCTTTGGTACTGTGAATAGTGCTGTGATAAACATAGGCATCTATGTGCCTTTATGTTAGAATGGTTTTCTTTTTTTGTTTCCTCCTTGTCTGGTTTTGGTTTCATGGTATGCCAGCTTCATAGAATGAGTTAAGAATTCCCTTCTCTGAAATTTTCTGGAATCGTTTGAGGAGAATCGGTGTTAGTTCTTTGAGAGTTTGTAGATAGAATTCAGCAGTGAAGTCATCAGTCCTGGACTTTTCTTTTTTGGGTGGCATTTGATTACTGATTCAATCTCATTATTCATTATTGGTCTGTTCATCTTTTCTATTTCTTCCTGATTTAATCTTGGTAGGTCCTATGTGTCTAGGAATTTGTCCATTTCCTCTAGATTTTCCAGTTTGTTAGTAAGTCGTTGTTTCTTATCATCTCTGATGATCTTTTCTATTTCTGTGGTGTCAGTGCTAATATCCCGTTTTTTATTTCTGGTTTTGCTCATTTCTTCTCTTCTTGGTTAGTCTAGCTAGTGGTTTATTAATTTTATTTATTTTTTTAAAAAACAACTTTTCATTTCATTAATCTTTTGTACTATTTAGCCTATATTTTATTTGGTTCTGCCATGATTTTTATTACTTCTTTCTTTGTACTAAGTTTAGGTTTGGTTTGTTCTTGTTCTTGTAGTTCCCTAAAGTACATCATTAGATTGTTTATTTTAAATCTTTCTGCTTTTTTGATGTAGGTGTTTATTGTCATCAACTTTGCTCTTAGCAGTGCTTTTGCTGTATCCCATAGGTTTTGGTATGTTGTATTCTGATTTTCATTTGTTTCAAGAAGTTTTTAAAATTTCCTTCTTAATTTCTTTCTTGACCCAGTGGTTACATAGGAGCATGTTGTTTAATTTCCATGTATTGTACAGTTTCAAAAGTTCCTCTTGTTACTGATTTCTTGTTTTTTCCATGTGTGAGAAAAGACTTGATATAATTTTGGTTTTGAAAAAATTTTAAGAATTACATCCTAACATATGGTCTGTCCTAGAGTATGTTTTATGTGCTAATGAGAAAATGTGTATTCTGTAGCTATTTGATGAAATGTTCAGTAAATGTCTGTTAGGCATATTTTGTCTAATGTGAAGTTTAAATGTTTCTTTGTTAATTTCTGTCTAGATGACCTATCTAATTCAGAGTGGGGTGTTGAAGTCCCCAACTATTATTGCACTGGAGTATATCTCTCTCCCTTTTGATCTAATAATATTCACCTTATATATCTGGGTGTTCTAGTATTAGGATTATAGTATGTTTAGAATTGTTATATCTTCTTGCTGAATTGATCCCTTTATCATTGTACCATGACCTTCTTTGTCTCTTTTTGCTGTTTTTGACTTAAAATCTTTTTTTTTAATGAGATAAATATAGTTCTCACTTTAGCTCTCACTAAAAAGACTTAAAATCTTTTTTTTTTCTGATATAAATATAGCTCTTACTTTTGGTTTCCATTTGCACAGAATATCTTTTTCCATTCCTTTGCTTTCAACTCATGTGTCTTTACGAGGGAGATAAGTTTCTTGTCAGCAGCATATAGTTGGGTCATTTTTTAAAAAAATCCATTCAGCCAGTCTATATCTTTTAAATGAAAAGTTTAATCGATTTACATTCAGTGTGATTATTGATATGTGAGGGTTTATTCTTGTCATTTTATTAATTGATTTCAGTTGATTTGTATATCTTTTGTTCCTTTCTTTCTCTTTTATTTTTTTTTTTATCATTGTGGTTTGGTTATTTTCCATAGAGGTAACATTTGAGTTCTTTCTCTTTATTTGTGTGTTTGCTGTGTCAGTGGGTTTTATAATTTTGTGTGTTTTCACAATGATAGATATTGTTCTTTCACTTCTAGGTATAGGACTCTTTTTTTTCCTACTATAATAATTTGGTAGTATATTTTCTTATATATATATATATATATATATATATATATATATATTGTACTTTAGGTTCTGGGGTATATGTGCAGATCATGCAGGATTGTTGCATAGGTACATAATGGCAATGTGGTTTGCTGCCTCCATCCCCCCGTCACCTCTATCTGGCATTTCTCCCCATGTTATCTCTCCTCAACCTCCCCACCCTCAGCCGTACCTCCCCTAGACCCCCTCCAACAGACCCCAGTGTGCGATGCACCCCTCCATGTATCCATGTGTTCTCATTGTTCAACACCCACCTATGAATGAGAACATGCAGTGTTTGATTTTCTGTTCTTGTGTCAGTTTGCTGAGAATGATGGTTTCCAGATTCATCCATGTCCCTACAAAGGACACGAACTCATCGTTTTTAATGACTGCATAGTATTCCATGGTATATTTGTGCCACATTTTCCTTGTCCAGTCTATCATTGATGGGCGTTTGGGTTGGTTCCAGGTCATTGCTATTGTAAACAGTGCCGCAATGAACATACATGTGCATGTGTCTTTATAATACAGGTATTGATCGACTTACGACCTATGCAACTTGCGACCATTCGACTTTACGACCACAATCGCTAGCCACGACTGCTCCGTGTCTGGCAGCGCAAACATTGCCCAGCTGGGCATACGACATCATTTCACAGTACTGTACATATAGCCTACTCAACTTACGACCAAATCGTGTTACGACCGGTCTGTTGGAACCAATCGTGGTCGTAAGTCGAGCACTAGCTGTAGAATGATTTATAATCCTTTGGATATATACCCAGTAATGGGATTGCTGGGTCAAATGGAATTTCTATTTCTAGGTCCTTGAGGAATCACCACACTGTCTTCCACAATGGTTGAACTAATTTACACTCCCACCAACAGTATAAAAGTGTTCCTATTTCTCTACATCTTCTGTAGCATCTGTTGTCTCCATATTTTTTAGTGATTGCCATTCTAACTGGTGTGAGATGGTATCTTCATGTGGTATTGATTTGCATTTCTCTAATGACCAGTGATGATGAGCATTTTTTCATATGTTTGTTGATCTCATATATGTTTTCTTTTGAAAAGTGCCTGTTCATGTCCTTTGCCCACTTTTGAATGGGCTTGTTTGTTTTTTTCTTGTAAATTTAAGTTCTTTGTAGATTCTGGATATTAGCCCTTTGTCAGATGGGTAGATTGCAAAAATTTTTTCCCATTCTGTTGGTTGCCAGTTCACTCTAATAATTGTTTCTTTTGCTGTACAGAAGCTCTGGAGTTTAATCAGATCCAATTAGTCTATTTTGGCTTTTGTTGCCAATGCTTTTGGTGTTTTAGTCATGAAGTCCTTGCCAATGCCTATGTCCTGAATGGTTTCGCCTAGGTTTTCTTCTAAGGTTTTTATGGTGTTAGGTCTTATGTTTAAGTCTTTAATCCTTCTGGAGTTAATTTTAGTGTAAGCTGTCAGGAAGGGGTCCAGTTTCTGTTTTCTGCATGTGGCTAGCCACTTATCCCAATACCATTTATTAAACAGGGAATCCTTTCCCCATTGCTTGTTTTGTCCAGTTTGTCAAATATCAGATGGTTGTAGATGGCTTCCGAGGTCTCTGTTCTGTTCCATTGGTCTATATCTCTGTTTTGGTACCAGTACCATGCTGTTTTGATTACTGTAGCTTTGTAGTATAGTTTGAAGTCAGGTAGCATGATGCCTCCAGCTTTGTTCTTTTTGCTTAGGATTGTCTTGGCTATGTGGGCTCTCTTTTGGTTCCATATGAAGTTTAAGGTGTTTTTTTCCAGTTCTGTGAAGAGGGTCATAGGTACCTTGATGAGGATAGTGTTGAATCTATAAATTACTTTGGGCAGTATGGCCATTTTCACAATATTGATTCTTCCTAATCATGAGCATGGAATGCTTTTCCATTTGTTTGTGTCCTCTCTTATTTCCTTGAGCAGTGGTTTGTAGTTCTCCTTGAAGAGGTCCTTTACATTCTTTGTTAGTTGTATTCCTATTTTATTCTCTTCATAGCAATTGTGCATAGGAGTTTGCTCTTGAATTTGGCTCTCTTTTAGTCTGTTATTGGTGTATAGGAATGCTTGTGATTTCTGCACATTGATTTTGTATCCTGAGACTTTGCTGAATTGCTTATCAGTTTCAGGAGATTTTGGGCTGAGACGATGGGGTCTTCTAAATATACAATCATGTCATCTGCAAATACAGACAATTTGACTTCCTTCTTTCCTAATTGAATATCCTTTATTTCTTTTTCTTGCCTGATTGTTCTGGCTAGAGCTTCCAATACTATATTGAATAGGAATGGTGAGAGAGGGCATCCTTTCCTAGTGCCAGATTTCAAAGGGAATGCTTCCAGTTTTTGTCCATTCAGTATGATATTGGCTGTGGGTTTGTGGTAAATAGCTTTTATTATTTTGAGATACGTTCCATCAATACCTAGTTTATTGAGGGTTTTTAGCATAAAGGGCTATTGAATTTTGTCAAAGGCCTTCTCTGCATCTATTGAGATAATCATGTGGTTTTTGTCTTTGGTTCTGTTTATGTGATGGATTAGGTTTATAGACTTGTGTATGGTGAACCAGCCTTGCATCCCTGGGATGAAGCCTGCTTGATTGTGATGGGTAAGCTTTTTGTTGTGCTGTTGCAATCAGTTTACCAGTATTTTATTGAAGATTTTTGCATCTATGTTCATTGTGGATATCGGCCTGAAGTTTTCTTTTCTTGCTGAGCCTCTGCCGGGTTTTGGTATCAGGATGGTGTTGGTCTCATAAAATGATTTGGGAAGGATTCTCTCTTTTTGGATTGTCTGGAATCGTTTCAGAAGGAGTGGTACCAGCTCCTCTTTGTATATCTGGTAGAATTTGGCTATGAACTCATCTGGACCTGACCTTTTTTTGGTTGGTAGGCTATTAATTTCTGCCTCAACTTCAGCCTTTGTTATTGGTCTATTCAGGGTTTCAACTTCTTCCTGGTTTAGGCCTGTACAGGAATTTGTCCATTTCTTCCAGGTTTACTGGTTTATGTGCATAGAGTTGTTTGCTGTAATCTCTAATGGTAGTTTGTATTTCTGTGGAATCGGTGGTGATATCCCCTTTATCGTTTTTTATTGCATCTATTTGATTCTTCTCTCTTTTCTTTGTTATTAATCTGGCTAGTGGTCTGTCTATTTTGTTGATCTTTGAACTCTTAAGCATATCTTGCAGGGTTGGTGTACCCTCAGCTTTTACTTATCTGGGAAGGATTATTATTCTTCATTTATGCTGGATAATTTGCTAAGGATAGTATCCTTGACTGACAATTTTCTTCTTTCAGCACTTTGAATATATTATTTCATTCTCTCCCATTTCTTTCTGTTGAGAAGCCTACTGTTAGTCTGATGAGAGTTCCCTTGTAAGTGACTAGATGCTTTTCTCTTGCTGTTTTTAGTATTCTCTCTTTGTCTTTGATTTTTGTATTTTGACCATAACGTGCCATGGAGAAGACCTTTTTGTGTTGTATCTCTTTGGGTATCTCTGAACTTCCTGTATCTGGATATCTACATCTCTTGCTAGAGTTGGAAAGTTTCCAGCTATTATTTCATTAAGTAGATTTTCTTTCCTTTATTTTTTCTCTTCATCTCTGGGACCTCAAAAATTCAAATATTTGGTTGTTTTATGATGTCCCATTAGGAGCTTTGTTTATTCTTCTTTTTTTCTTTTTCTATTTTTGTCTGACTAGAATATTTCAAAAGAATTGGCTTTATATTCTGAAATTCTTCTACTTTATCTAGTCTGTTGTTGAAGATTTCAAATGTATTTTATATTTTATTCAATCAATTATTCTGTTTCGAGATTTCTGTTTGGTTCTTTTTTATAATGAAGTTGCTAAATTTCTTCTTATCCTGAGATTTTTTTTTTCTCATTTCTTTGTATTGTTTTTCTAAATTCTCTTGTATCTCACTTGGCTTCTTTAATGTAATTATTTTGAATTATTTTACTAGGATATAGCATTTTTCCCTCCATTGGAATGTTTCAGGAGAATTATTATGTTCCTGGGGTGATGTCATGTTTCCTTCTTCTTCTTCTTTTTCTTTTTTTTAAATATCCTATGTCCTTATGTTGATACCTGCACATCTGACATAATTGCTACTTCTCGGTTTGTTTGAATTTGATTTTGTAGGGGAGTCTTTTTTCCTAAAGCTCTTTCTATGGTGTAGTTAGATAGGAAATTTTGCCTTTGTTTCTGTGTGCGTCCAGTAGGATTGTTATATAGTATCGTGATTTTTTTAGGCTGTAAACAGTGTCCTTGGTATCTGTGATTTCTTCTTTGGCTTTGGGTGTGATGGTTAGTGGAGGGTGCGGTGAAGTTTTATTGGGGATGAGGAGTGATACAGTTTAGATATGAGTGAAATGAGAAAGGTTCTATCTACCAACTTTGTTTTTTGGCTAATAAAACCAATAAAGGTTTTATTGGCTTGAATTGATGGTTTCAGTTGATGAAAGTACTTTGTATGCATGTGTGCTATAGAAAAATAAAATATGTTTGCTTTCTTCATTTCTTTCAGATTTGGAGTCGAAATATGGACCTGAGAAAGTATCTTCAGAAAGTGAAATCTCTGAAGTAAATTTACCCAAACAGGTTATAAAGCAAATAAGTAAAACTGTTGGCCTCGAGGCCTTTTATTTTAGAAATGACTCAGAATATAGAAGGTTTGAAGGACTACAGGGATATCAAGAAGGATATATCAATCAGAAGTTGATGAGCTATGAAAAACTGCCTACTTATATTCCTCATGCTTCTCTTATTCACAATACACATAAACCATATGAATGTAAGGAATGTGGAAAATACTTTAGTCGTGGTTCAAATCTTATTCAACATCAGAGTATTCATACTGGGGAGAAACCCTTTGAATGTAAAGAATGTGGGAAAGCCTTTCGACTTCACATACAATTTTCTCGACATCAGAAATTTCATACTGGTGAGAAACCTTTTGAATGTAAGGAATGTGGAAAGGCCTTTAGTCTTCTCACCCTGCTTAATCGCCATAAGAATATTCACACAGGTGAGAAACTGTTTGAATGTAAGGAATGTGGTAAGTCCTTTAATCGTAGCTCAAACCTTGTTCAACATCAGAGTATTCATGCTGGTGTAAAACCGTATGAATGTAAGGAGTGTGGGAAAGGCTTTAATCGTGGTGCACACCTTATTCAGCATCAGAAGATTCATTCCAATGAGAAACCCTTTGTATGTAAGGAATGCGGGGTGGCCTTTCGATATCATTACCAACTTATTGAACATTGCCAAATTCATACAGGTGAGAAACCCTTTGAATGTAAGGAATGTGGAAAGGCCTTTACTCTTCTGACAAAGCTTGTTCGACATCAGAAGATTCACACTGGTGAGAAGCCCTTTAAATGCAGGGAATGTGGGAAGGCCTTTAGTCTTCTCAACCAGCTAAATCGCCATAAGAACATTCACACAGGTGAAAAACCATTTGAATGTAAGGTATGTGGGAAGGCCTTTAATCGTAGCTCAAACCTTATTCAACATCAGAGTATTCATGCTGGTGTAAAACCATATGAATGTAAGGAGTGTGGGAAAGGCTTTAATCGTGGTGCACATCTTATTCAGCATCAGAAAATTCATTCCAATGAGAAACCTTTTGTATGTAGAGAATGTGAGATGGCCTTTAGATATCAATGCCAACTTATTGAACATTCTCGAATTCATACTGGTGACAAGCCGTTTGAATGTAAAGACTGTGGGAAGGCCTTCAATCGTGGCTCAAGCCTTGTTCAACATCAGAGTATTCATACGGGTGAGAAGCCCTATGAATGTAAGGAGTGTGGGAAGGCTTTTAGGCTTCACCTACAACTTTCTCAACATCAGAAAACTCATACAGGCGAGAAACCCTTTGAATGTAAAGAATGTGGGAAATTCTTTCGTCGTGGTTCAAATCTTAATCAACATCGAAGTATTCATACTGGAAAGAAACCCTTTGAATGTCAGAAATGTGGGAAAGCTTTTCGACTTCATATGCACCTTATTCGACATCAGAAATTGCATACTGGTGAGAAACCCTTTGAATGTAAGGAGTGTGGGAAAGCTTTTCGACTTCATATGCAACTTATTCGACATCAGAAATTTCATACTGGTGAGAAACCCTTTGAATGTAAGGAATGTGGAAAGGTTTTTAGTCTTCCCACCCAGCTTAATCACCATAAGAACATTCACACAGGTGAGAAGCCATCTTGAGTGTAAGGAATGTGGGAAGTCCTTTAATAGTGTCTCAAACTGTGTTCAATGTCAGAGTATGTATGTTGGTGTAAAACCAGGTGAATGTAAGGAGTCTGGGAAAGGCTTCAATCATGGTTCAAACCTTATTCAGCATCAGAAAATTAATTCTAGCGAGAAACTCTTTGTATGTAAGGTGTGGAGGAAGATCTTTAGATATCATTACCAACTTATTGAACATTACCAAATTCATACTGGTGGAAAACCCTTTGAATGTGAAGAATGTGGAAAAACCTTTAGTTTTCTGACACAGCTTGCTCAACGTTAGGTCATTCATACTGATGAGAAGCCATTTGAATCTGAGAAACATGGGAAGGCCTTTAGTAGTGGCTCAAACTTTGTTCAACATCAGAGTATCCATACTAGTGAGAAACTCTATGAATGTAAGGAATGTGGGAAAACTTTTAGATTTAGTATTGTCTTCACTGCACCTCAAAGAATTCATAACAGTATGAAATCCTTTGAATGTAAGGGATGTGGGAAGACCTTTAGTTGTAGCTCAAAGCTTGTTCAACTTGTTAAAATTCATACCTGTGAGAAACCGTATAATGTAAGGAATGTGAGAAAGCATATGCTGTGGATGATCAGCTTACTCAACATTAGAAAATTCATAATAGAAATTTTATGAATATCAGGAGTGTGGACAAGCCTTCACTGTGTATGAAAAATTTACTCAATGCCAGAAAACTCATATGGATGAGAAATCCTGTGAACATAAAAGAATGTGCGGCGAACTTTCATCATGGCCTGGGATTTGCATAACATCAGAGTATTCATACTGCTGAGAAATCCTTTGAGTGTAAGGAATATGGGGTGTTTTATGGCAACTCTAAATACAGTAGAGTTCAGAGAAGACAATTCTTATGAGAAAGTCTTTGAATGAGGAATATAGGGCAGTTGTCACATTCACAGTATACTCCGTATGCAATGCTTTACCAGATACAGGCATACCTCACTTAATTGTGCACACGGTTATTGTGTTTTATGCAATTTGAAGGTTTGTGGCAACCCCACAGTGAGTAAGATGATCAGAGTCATTTTCCAAACATCATGTGTCCATTTTGTGTCTTTATGTCACGTTTTGGTAATTCTCAGAATATTTCAAAGTTTTTCATTGTTATATGTCCATCATGGTGACCAACGACCAGTGATTTTTTATGTTACTGTTGTAATTGCTTTGGGATACCACAAACATTGCCCATAAAAGATGGTGAACCTAGTTGATACTTGTTGTGGGTTTTGAAAAAATAGTCAAATATACAATCATATACCCCCACCTAGATACAAAAGTGTTAACAATTTGCCATGTTTATTTTTTGTATATTTGTTGTGCCATAGAGAATAAGTTTTACACTTCATGACACTTTACCCCTTATTTAATCAGCATGGGTATCACCCAAACATAAAGACAATATCATATAGCCATAGTACCATAATTACCCTTAAGGAAATTATTCATAATTCTGTAAAATCATTCCATTTTCAGATTTCTTCATTGGCCCCCAAACCATCTTTTATGGCTATTCATACTTAAAGGAGAATCCATTGCAGATTCTGAATTGCATTTTGTTCTCTCTCTTCAGTATATTGTAGCCTGGAAACCCTATAAATGTAAGATCTCATATTTTGGTAGGTATTAGAATTACCTGTGGAACTTAGTAAAACTGCAGAGGCTTAAGCCCTAGCTTATAAGCCTGGGCCTCTGTGTTTTATTTTATTTCTCCAGGTGATTGTGATACCAACCAGAGTTAGAGAGCCACTGGTCTAGAACATTTCTCCTCATTCTTAAAAAATGACATTAAATTTTGTCTAGCCCAGGAAAGTTGTCTGCTGTGTGTTTAGATTTCTTTCTTTATAGTGTCATTTAGCCTTGTTCTCTTTGTTGTATATTCTGTACAAGGGAGTTTGAGTCCAGAGGCTCTGTTAGGTCTAGATTACACATTTTGGGGAAGAATGCTTTGTAGGTTATTTGTATGTCATGTTTTATTGTCAGAAAACATTTAAGTACCGGTCCTTGAATTAGTGAAACTAAGTTTGATCATTTGGGTAAGCCGGTAGCTACAATGTTAAGTAATCTGTGGAGAGACTTTGTCACCCCTGAAAAATTATAGTCATGTGTATTTTATCCCTGGATTGAATACAAAATGAAAATAGAAATAGACTATTCAGAAATGAATGCCATGAAGGTATCAACATAATTCAACTTGTGTGTTATGGCTGACACTGTACTCGGTACAAAATTAGCACCCTCTAGTTTATGCAGGGAGCCGAGGTTGTTTTGTCTGGAACCCTGTTTTTGTTCAGCATTTATCACCAGCATCTATACCATGTCTGGTACATGAGCTGTTGATAAACTTTGAAAAAAATTAAGCACTTAAATCAAGCTATAAAATGTGATACCATTGTGGGATCATGAATTATATTAATTTTTTTAAAGATCAATAGTAATCCTTTATGATTTTATTCCAGTATATTTAAAAATCTATAAAGTGATAATTTATATTGATAGCTTTCTTCTTTTTGTGAATATATATACCCTTATCAGATTATTATTGTTTTGATAGACAATTCTATTTCTTAACATTTAATTGCATCTATAATCATTAAAGTTATAATTTTCTAAATAATTTTTCAGGTTTGTTATTGCAGTGATTTTATAAATCTTATAAAACACAGTTATATAAAACTTGGCTTTCTAGTCTCATGTTCCTATTTTTTATTTCCAGTTTCATCTTTTTTGTATTGATTCTCTTTGACTTTTTTTTTTTTTTTAACTCAACAGATTCCCTGGGTATTAACCCAGCACAACTCGTTTATGGGTCATTGCACATCCTGGTAGTGTCATTAAGGATTTTCATGAAAGATCCCTGGAGACCTTGCAATGAAACTATTATCACGCAATCTTGGCATTTCTAAGTTGGAAGTCAGAGTCCCTTTGCAAACATAATAAAACACTTCAAAGTATTTGCTAAAGTTACAAACCAAGTATGTACAAATTTAAAAACCACCTTATACTTTTAAAAGCAGAAAAGGCATCCAAGGAATATTTCCTTGCTTACAAGCTCAGTGAATGTCCGGAATTCACTTACAAAAAGAATTTTCTCAAATTTAGTTGCCTTTCAAAAAAATTCTTATTTCTTTTATTTGTAATTCTTTGACACTGTTGCTGCTTCAAGGTTTTGGTAATTGGCCAATATGGTCTTTATTATGCTATTAACATTTTTACTTGTCCTGAAAGAAGGGAATATAATCAAAGAAACAGAAGGTTGCCGTAACTCGAACCACATTATGATATCAGGATGACCCAGAGCCATGGTTACTAAGCTGTTTAAATTTTTAGTAACAGAGGTGTATTAGAAAGTGATAGGTCAATTAAATAATTTTTTTGATAAATTTAATGATAGCATCCCCTTAAATTATGCTTAGTCAGCAGCATTTAATCTGTTGTCTATTATACACCTAACTGGTCTGTTACCTTTCTTATATATTTATGTATTACTTATAAATATCTTATTAGAGTAACTCATTTTTAAAACAATATATTTCATCTCCTAGGAGAAGAGGATTGAGTATGTGTTTTTATTCTTTCTCATTATGACATTTGGGTATTTTTTCATTTTGAAATGCTATTGAATATTCCATTTATTTAGTCTGTGGTCTGACCTTCACTCCCTAGCACTGATTTTTATTTGGACCTTCTTTTACCTGATTCATATGAGTTAGGAGTAGCCATTGTATGGATACATTTTTCCCATTCCTAGTATACTGCCCTTTCCAAAAGTGTCTGGCTTACTCAAAGTTTTCTATATTTGTTCCATCCTGCTTTTACAGATGAATACAAATAGCTAACTATACCTTCTAAACAATTAAAGCTGGTGGAAAAAGGCATATAAACAGCTCTTTCTCACCTACTATCAGCAGTAAACTAAGCATTTTTAACTGCAACCTCCTTTTGTACAATTTACAGCCATTTATCTTTTGAGTATGACATGATACTAGATGTATGATAATTATATATTTCATGTGTCAGTATGAACATGATTTTTAACAGACTTGTTTCAATGAACTTTTATACAGATGGTCCCCAACTTAACAATGTAGACTAATGATTTCTCACTTTATGATGGTGCAAAACTGACATGTTACTATAGTTTGAATATTTGTCTCCTCCAAATCTCATGTTGAAGTTTGATCCCAGAAATGGGAGGTGTCTGGGTCACAGGGGAGGATCCCTCATGAATAAATTAATAAATAAATGAGACTAGGAATTTTGCCTCTTCAACTGAGAGTTGGTGGGGATAATCTGAACCACCATTCTGTTTTTCTGTTGTGAAACCTCTGCCTTACAAGTATATATATATGTGTGTGTGTGTGTGTGTATTTTCACAGCAGTAAAGGAAAATATAATGTCTTATCAAATAAAGAATATCAATAAAGGAAATCATAAAAGGAACCAAATGTAAATTCTGAGTTGAAGAATATAATAATCAAAATTTAAAAAATCATTAAGAGGTCTAAATAAGTTTTATCTAGCAGAAGAATTAGAAAATTATGCAACCTCAATTCCACCTTCCCACTAGAAAATAGAATAAGAAAATAAAATTAAGACATAGAATGAGAAAATAGATCAAAGAAAAATGAACAGAGGCTGGGTGCAGTGGCTCATGCCTGTAATCCTGGCACTTTGGGAGGCTGAGGTGGGCAGATCACCTGAGGTCAGGAGTTTGAAAATAGCCTGGCCGACATGGTGAAACCCCATCTTTATTAAAAGTACAAAAATTAGCCAGGCATGGTGGCAGGTGCCTTTAATCTCAGCTACTCAGAAGGTTGTGACAGGAGAAGTGCTTGAACCTGGGAGGTAGAAGTTGTAGTGAGCCGAGATCATGTCACTGCACTCCAGCCTGGACAACAAGAGCGAGACTGTCTCAAGGAAAAAAAAAAAGAAAGAAAAGAAAAATGAACAGAGCCTCAGAGAAATTTAGGACACCTTTAAGTGCACCAACATACATGTAATGAGAATACCAGAAGGTGAGGAGAAAGAGAAGCACAAAAATATTCAAAGAACTAATGGCTAAAAACATCCACAATTTGTTGAATAAACATTATACATGCAAGCAACTGAACAAATGTAAATAGAATGAATTCAAACATGTCCACAAACAAACACATCATAGTAAAAATGCTAAAAGTGAAAGAAAATGTTGATAGCTATAAGAGAAAAGCTGTGTCACAAGGGTACCCCAATAATTAACAGCAGACTTCTCATCGGAAACAATGGAGGGTATAAAGGCAGTGCAATGATATACTGAAAGTACTCAAAGGACAAAAGCTCTGTCAACTATGAATTTTATTCCTGGTAATGATATCTTTCAAAAATAAAGGTAAAATAAAGCCCTTCCTAGATCTATCATATGAGAAATTGCAAAGAAAGTTACTCAAGCTGAAGCAAGTAAATCCACATGAAAATTCAAAATTGCATTTTAAGAAAGAAAAAAATTAATATTTTTAATTAAAGGTAATTATAGCCGGGTGCAGTGGCTCATGCATGTAAACAAAGCACTTTGGCAGGCCGAGGCAGGAAGATTGCCTAAGGTCAGGAGTTTGAGACCAGCCTGGCCAACATGGCAATACCCTGTCTCTACTGAAAATACAAAAATTAGCTGGGCATGGTCATGTGCATCTGTAGTCCCAGCTACTCAGGAGGCAGAGGCAGCAGAATTGCTTGAACCCGGAAGGCAGAGGTTACAGTGAGTTGTTATAGTTCCACTGTACTCTAGCCTGGTTGACAAAGTGAGACTCTATCCCCAACACAAACAAACAAAAAAGGTAATTATAAAAGGCAGCATAAATGCACATTTCTTTTACTCTCTTCTCTTCATAGATTTTAAAAGTAATTATATAATACAATATATTCATAATTGTGTTGTGTTATGGGATGCAGCAAAAGCAGTGTTCAGGTAATTTTATAGCTGTTAGTGTTTACATTAAAAAAGATAGAAGATTTCAAGTCAACAACTTAGCTTCATGCTAAGTTGCTATAAACTAGAAAAGAAGAAACTAAATTTGAAGCTAGTAGAAGGAAAGAAAAATATTAGAGAATAAAAATAATGGAGAAAATTAGTAAAACTAAGCGTTAATTCTTTGCAAAGTTCAACAAAATTGTCAAACCATTAGTTGATTAAGAGAGAAAACTGAAATAACTAGGATCAGAAATAAAACAGGGAACATTCCTATGAATTGTATAGTAATGGAAAGTATTATTTAAGTGCTTTTAACAGTTGTATGTCAATAAATTGGATAACCTAGACAAAATGGTAAAATTCCTAGAAACATACACATGACTAAGACAATCATGAAGAAATAGAAAATCTGAATATACCTATGACCAGTGAGAAGACTGAATAGCAATCCAATATCTCCTAATGAAGAAAAGCCAAGGACTAGATGGCTTCATTGGTAAAGTCTAGCAAATGATTTTAGATCTTTATTCTTTTCTAGCACTATAGGCATTTAAAGCTAGAAGTCTCTCACTAAAAACATGTTTAGCTGTTTCAAAAACTTTGTTTTTGTTTTTATTAAAAATACATTGTAGGCAAGGTGTGGTGGCTTATGCCTGTAATCCTAGCATTTGGCGAGACTGAGATAGGGGCATTGCTTGAGGCCAGAAGTTTGAGATCAGCCTGATTAATATAGCCAGATCCCATATTTATTTTTAAGAAGTAAAATTTAAAAATACATTATAATTTCTCTTATAATGTATTCTTTGATACATGGAGTATTTAGCAATGTGTTGAATAATTTCAAAATATTTTTGAATTTCCCAAATTTCCTCAGTTTTTAATTTCTAATTTAATTTCATTGTGGTCAGAGAATTTACTTAGCATGACTTACTTTTTAAAACTATTACAATTTGCCATACGGTCTAGTATATTATTTAGTTTAGAAAATGTTGCATGTTGAGTATATATTTTATTATCAGTTGAGGGTTCAATAAATATCAGTTAAGTCAGACTAGTTGGTAGTGTTGTTTAAATCTTCTATACCCTTGAAGATTTTCTGTCTAGTGGTTAAAATTTTTGAGAATAGAGTGTTGAAATCTTCAACTTCTATTGTTGAAATGTCATTTTTCTCCCTTCAGTTTTGTCAGTTTCTTTCATGTATGTAGTCTCCTGTTTTTAGGAACATATATGTTCATTGTAGTTTTATTTTTCTGATTAACTCACCGTTTTGTCATGAAAAAATGTCCTTCTTTTCCTCTAGTAACATTTTAAAAGTCTATTTTGTCTGACGGAAATATTAACCTTTCCTGTTCTCTTCTGATCACCATTTGTTTGGTATCTATTTGAATCTTTTTCCATCCTTTTGTTTTCCATGTTTTCAGCTTAAAAAAAACCTAACATACATCTTAGCTTCAAAAATCTAATTGAGATTGTTACTAATATAATATCAACAGTCACCAGGCTTGGTGACTCACACCTGTAATCCCAACACTCTGGGAGGCCGAGGTGGGAGGATTGCCTGAGGCCAGGAGTTCAAGACCAGCCTGGGCAATATAGTGAGACTCTGTCTCCACAAAAAATTAGAAATAAAATTTTAATCAAAATAAATTAAATAATATCAATAGTATATAGAAAGTTTGCTGCAATATAGATCCCTTCCTCCCCTTTTGTGCTATCATAGTAACACAAATGTAACACAAATGACAACTTTATACATTATGAACAAAACAATATAATTGTATGGTTTTATGCAGTTATCTTTAATCAGTTAAATTAAGAGGGTAAATATATATTATTTTTTATTTACCTATGTAATGACTTTAATCACTGTTCATTGTTTCTTTGTGTGGATTCAAGTTACCATCTGGTGTTACCTTTCATCCTAAAGAACTTTAATATTTCTGATTAGCAAAGTCTGCTAGCAACAAATGCTTTCAGTCTTTATCTGCAGTTCTCTTGAAGTGTGTTCACATTCTTGTATAGTAAGTGTATGGGTGTGTGCGTGTGAGTGATCAACTTTGCAAAGAGTTTGGCCATTATTTTTCAAGAATTATTCCTTATGATCCATAAATAAAATGTTCGAATGTTATATAATTTCTTTTCTTTTTTACTAGACATTCTACTCCTTTATATAATTTCAATTATCCTAGTATTCATACATTTTCAAATTTTTACTACTTTGGACAGTATATTATATAGTGAGCTGTTATTGATTTCTAATTTAATTCCATTTTTCTCAAAGAACATACTTTGTATGACTTGGGTATTGAGCCAGAATAGGGTCTATGCTGCTAAGTGTCCCCTGTGCACATAAGATGAATTTTATTCTTTGAGAAGAGTGTTTCACAAGTGTAAATGAGATCAAGCAGGTTGATATGTTGTAGCATGTATTTGGGTCTGATTTAAAAAAAAATAATCCAACCTGACAATCTTTTTAAGTTAAGGTGTTTAAACCAGTTACATTTAATGTGATCATTGATAGAGTTAAGATTATTATCTTGCTGTTTTCTGTCACAGTTGGGAATGAAAAGACATTTTGCTCTTTATTATTCCATGTTTCCTCCTTATGTAGCATAGCACAGTACAAAAATGATTTTGAAAGTTCAATATTGCTAGATTACCACAGTGAAATCGGGCTCTTCCTACAACAAACAAGCCCCCATTTGCATTTGTTTAGACTATTTTAAGAAAATGTGTTAATTATTCATCCTTGAAGATAAGGCAAGTAATTTTCTGTGTACTTTTATCCGTTTTCATGCCGTCCTGAATCACATTTTTTCTGTCTAGATAGCAGGAACATTGTCTTGAAGAATCCAGTACATTTGTTTCTGAAATCTCTCAATTAAACCACACTTCCTCTTCTAGTACAAAATCAACCATTTCTTTAGTTCAAGCTTTTCAAATTTATCCTAAGTCCCTTTCAAATAGTACAAGGTGGAAGCCTATGTTGGGATCTGAGTCAAAGCAGCTACATCTTGACATAATTTAACTTTGAACTCTTCTTTAAAAGTTCTGCTCATTTGCATTCTACTCCATGGAGAGAAAAGGTAATTTACACTGACGCACCAAGAAGAGCAACTCTCCTCACAGATGGGGATCCTCGCCCGTAGCAGCAACCTGTGCACCCCACGGTCTGGAACTCCCACAAATCCATTAGGCTCGGCTCTTTTAAGAGCCATCGACTTATGGTGCGATCCACCTGAATAGCGCTCAAGGCTTTTGAGGCTCTTTCTGTTCAGGACTGTATTTCCCAGAGGCCACCGCACCGGAATTAACGGTTCCACTTCCGGTCACCAGGGGTCGACGACGTAGTGGGGTAAGGTCTTCCTGTCCTAGGAAGAAATCGGTGGCTGCGGGAGGTCTCTGCGGACTGGGACTCGATCCTGACAGACCCGGCAGTATGGGTGGGTGAGAGGGAGGCCCTCAGAGGGGGAACCTGGGGCGCAGACGGGATCTGCCGGATCCCCAGGCGCGCGTGTGCGCGGGAAGCAGAGGAGAGAAGCTTGTGCGATCATGAGTGACGGAGAGGACTGTGTGTGTTCATGAGGCCCTGTGCACAGGACCGGAAGGGCGTGTGGACGCAGCGCGTTTTGCTGGGGCTGTGTGAGTGTCACTGTTCTGGTGGCTCTAGGCTCCTGCTGCTTCCTCTGTCTTTCCCCTTCACAGCTGCGGAGGCTGCAGCAGAGGAATGGCCCCAGCAGGGAGGTCAGACATTGAGCCGAGAATGAAGCTTTCCACAAGAAAGCGCAGATCGGGGCTTGGGATGGGAATCTGAGAGCTGAAAGTGCCTCTTGAGGGTCCCCCCAGAAGGGCAGCTACATGTTAAGTACCCAGCGTCCCTCAGAGCTCTGTCCCCAGGAACCAGCTTTGAACTCGGACCGATTCCTCCTCCTTTTATCTCCTTCTCATTTCGTAAGAAGTGAGGGAAGTTGTGGCCCTGGAGAGTGCTTTCAAACTTAGTCTGCGCTCCAAGAAAAGCCTGGAGCCTCACGCTTGCCATATCTTTTCCCAGTCGTGCAATTATCCAAAAGAAGGACCGGAAGGAGGATGATAGTGTTGTTTCACACTTAGAAGTCAACAGTGAGTTTGTGCTTTGTATTTAAGATTTGTATTTTTTATTTTAGAATATAGAAGTTCCAGTGAATTTCAGGAGAATATGCAAATTGATTCTTGCTCCCTCCCATCTTGTTGCCTCCCAGCGAGTCCCCCCCCCCCCCCCGCGCCAACTTTCCACTTAATATTTACAGAACCATTTGGCAAATCGTTCACACTTTCCTGTGCGCTCTCTTCTTCTAAGCTGGTATAAAAATAGACCTCCAGATGTTTACATTAAAGCTTTATTTTAGACTCTGCTTTGGTAAGATTAGTCTATGGAATCACACACCAGGTATCTGATTGTCTTTACAGGCCTCCTTTTCAAAGCAGGGAAGAATGGAGATGGTTGGGTGATTTCCATTCCTCTGTGAGGCTTTCAGGAGTTAGAAAGTGATTGCCATGTTGGCCAGGGTGGCCTTGAACTCCAGAACTCAGGTGATCTGCCCTTGGAAAGTGCTGGGATTACAGATGTGAGCCACTGCTCCAGGCCTATATAAACATTCTTTAGATTCCACTGATGAGTAAGATCATGTGTCTTTCTGTGCCTTGCTTACTTCACTTAATATGATGTTCTCCATGTTCATCTGTGTTGTTGCGAATGACAGAATTTCCCTTTTTATGGCTAAATACTGTTCCATTGTGTATAAATGCCTGCATATATACCACATTTTCTTTATCCAGTCATTCACTGATAGACACTTAGATTGATTCCATATCTTGGCTATTGTGAATAGTGCTGAAATAAACATGGGTGTGCAGATGTCACTTTGACATGGATTTCATTTCCTTTGGATATATATTCAGTAGTGGGATTGCTGAATCATATGGTAGTTTTATTTTTTTAATTTTTTGAAGAACCTCCATACTGTTTTCCATGATGTCTGTGTCACTTTACTTTCTCACAGGGTTCAAGCATTCCCTTTTCTCTACATTCTCACAAACACTTAACTTTTGTCTTTCCAATAGCCACCCCTACACACATGAGGTGATATCTTATTGTAGTTTAATTTTCATTTCCCTGATGATTAATGAAGTTGAGCATTTTTTCATATACTGTTTGCCATTTATATGTCTTCTGTTTGCCATTTATATGTCTTCTTTTGTGATGTGTTTATCAGGTCCTTTGCCCATTTTTAAATTGGGTTGGTTTCTTGCTGTTGAGCTGTTTGAGTTCCTCACATATTTTGGATATTAACCCCATATCAGATATATGGTTGCAAGTATTTTCTCTCATTCTGTAGATTATCTCTTCACTTTGTTGTGCAGAAGCTTTTTTAGCTTGATGTAATTTCATTTGTCTATATTTGCTTTTGTTGCCTGTGTTTTTGACATCTTTTCCAAAAAGAAAAATCATTACCCAGATCAATGCCATGAAGCTTTTCCCATGCATTTTTGTCTATTTGTTTCATAGTTTGGGTTCTTACATTTAAGTCTTTAACCCATTTAGAGTTGATTTTTGTATAATGGTTTGAGATAAGGGTCTAATTTCATTCTTCTGTGTATGACTAGTTTTCACAATGGTATGTATCAAAGAGACTGTCTTTTCCTTATTGTATGTTCTTGGCACCTGTCTCAAAAATCAGTTGGTTATAAATGTATGGATTTATTCTGGGACTCTCTATTCTGTTCTGTTGGTCTATGTGTCAGTACCATGCTGTTTTGGTTACTATAGCTTTGTAGTATATATTTAAGTCAGGTAATTTGTTTGGTGCCTCCAACTTTGTTCTTTTTGCTCCAGATTGTTTTGGCTATTTGGGGTTCTTTGTGGTTCTATACAAATTTTTGCATTTTTTTTTCTATTTCTGTAAAGAATGTAGGACTGAAATTCTTAACCTGAGTTCCTGTAACTCCACTTATTATCTTGGGGACCACAAGCTCTTGAAATAAAATATTGAAGCATTATAGAAATTAATAAATGTGGGTTTCAGAGGAAGGAATAATATGTCATTTCATAAGACTATTGAAAGAGTGTGTGACCCATGAGGTTTGGATCCATTGGTCTAGAAAGAACATTGGTTCTCAGCTGGGGTGATGTTTAGAAACTTTTGGTTGTCATACTGTGGGGGAAAGTGCTACTTAGATCCAGTAAACAGAGGTCAGGGATATTGCTGAACATTGTACCATGCACAGGGTAGCTCTCCTCACAGCCCCAACAAAGAATTGTCAGTAGTGCCTAGGGTGAGAGAAACCTTAGTCTAGAATCAAAAGACTGTGATACCTGGAATGACACTGTAAATAATCTTATATAAACTAAGTGTTATGGAAATCACTAAGCAAATCATACTAGACTTAAGTGATAGAGTGTTATGTGTATAGATACATATATGTGTATGTATCTATACATGTGAATATAATTATATATTCCAAGTTAATGCCTGTGCATAGTCACACTTATGAAGTACTTTTAAGCAAAAAGAAGAAAATTGGGGCTATGATACAGAGATAAATACTGTTAGCATGCATACACTTGTCTAAATTTTTTTTGTATTGATATCTATTAGACTTTTTAAAAATATTTTTATATGCATATATTTTACAAATGTAATCATATTGTCTATCCTATTTTGTAACCTGATTTTTCTGTTAGTTGTATGTCTTGAACATTTAATGATTACTTCATATTCTATTACATGGATGTTCTGAACTGTACTTAACCAGCTGGCTTTTGCTGAACTCAGAACGCTGACCACTGGTCATGAAATTCCTTCTATATCCTTTCCAGCTTTCATGCCTTGCCCCACTGCACCCAGTCCTGACTTCACAAAAAGGTTCTGGTTTGGATAATGTGATCCCTTCTCAGCTCTGAAAAGTGGGACTAGGGCAGGAGGATTGCTTACAGCAGGATCAGAGGCCCAGTCCTAGGCCAAGGTAGGTATCCTAAGAGTAGAGGACTGGTTGGAAGCCTTCCTGCAGGAGTGTCTTTTGAGCAACTTCAAGACAGAAATGCCTGTGCTGTGCATTCATACTTGTGCCGCAGGTTCCCTGGAATTTAGGCGAGAGCTTAGTTTCATCCACACTCCACCTGTTCACTGCCAGTTTATTTGTGAGAGGGTGTGTTCAGAGAAAAGGGGAGTGATGGGAGAGGGTTGGAAGTGTGTGTGTTAGCAGGGGTAGTTGAGAAATAGGATTGAAGGATAAAATAGTTATTTGCTTCAGTGCTTTGGGAGCATTGAGACACAGCCTGACTTACAGCCTTTTTGTTGTTGTTTTCCAGGAGAGAAGCCCAAGGAAGATTAACCAATTTTGAAATTCTAAAAACATGGTCCATGTAAGTTGGTATTTCTCTCTTCTTGAAGTATGGTGATTTTCAGGTTAGGTGACTGTTATTATCTAACCTGAAACTTCTTACCTAAGGATCCACTATTTTACACCCCAGTTTGTCCCATTACAGTGAAGGTTGGGACCAAAAATAAAGGTCAGTGCTCTTCCTATTTGTACCTCTGTTTTCCTACTGGCTTTGATGTTTTCTTGGAGCAGGTTATTCAGTCTGTGCTCGGAACTCAGTCCTTGGTCAGGAAGAATGTTGGAACATTAGATAAGTCGGTCCCCACAGGAAAACATGGTCTTGTGGATTTGATAAGTTACAAATGATTGTCGCATTTGACCACACTTGGGAACACCTTGAAACTTCTCCACCGACTGGGGCTTTCCAGGTAGCTAAGGTAGAATTCCATAGTGAGTGGCCTCAGTCTGCAAGTGTGACAAGGTGATCTGCTTTATGAGCCTTTTAGGAAAGTGATCAGTGAGGACAGTGGGCAGTAACAGGGAGAAGATTATTCAGGGCACAAGTGGTTGGTGATTACAAATTCTCTGAATTGGGAAAAACCTTAGAGACTGACCATCTTAAATATACAAATAGAAAAAAATGATTAAATCTAATATGTCAGTTATTATTGAATTTTATGCAGCTTACAAAAATCATTTGTCATGACAAGAAAAATAGTTTTATCATCTGATACTATAATGAGATGAGGATTAAGGGCATTCCTCAATTTTATGCAACCTACCTTTTTTTTTTTTTTTTTTTTTTTGAGACAAGGCCTCACTCTAGCCCAGACCGGAGTGCAGTAGTGTCATCACACTTCTCTACAGTGTTGAAGCCCCAGGCTCAAGTGATACTCCCACCTCAGCTTCCCAAGTAGCTGGGACTATAGGCACATGCCACCATGCCAGTTACTTCTTCTTCTTCTTCTTCTTTTTTTTTTTTTTTTTTTTTTTTTTTTTTTTTTTTCAGGAAATGTGTCTCGTTATGTATGAGAACAGGAGGCTGTTCTCATACTCCTGGGCTCAAGTGGTCCTTCCATCTTGGTCTCCCAAAGTACTGGGATTACAGGCATGAGCCACCATGCCAGGCCAGCAGCAGGATTCTTGAAGAATGTGTAGGCATTCTGAGAATTTTCATATTGCTCCTTTATTGAAGTTTAGTCCCTTCACTTTCTCTCCTTTCATCTTGAAACAACTTTCTTCAGTTTTACCATAATACATGTGTTTGTGGTTTCAGGGATCAGTGACATTCAGGGATGTGGCCATCGACTTCTCTCAGGAGGAGTGGGAGTGCCTGCAGCCTGCTCAGAGGACCTTGTACAGGGATGTGATGCTGGAGAACTACAGCCACCTGATCTCACTGGGTAAGGTCCTCTGCCCCAGTTAATTTAGCATCTGTTCTCTGGAATATCAGCTTTTTTTCACTGTGAATTTCAGGGCTATCTTTTAAGAGGTAGCTGAATTCCTTCTTCTTGTTCCCAAAGGAGTGATTTGAGATTTGTTGGGTTGAAAACAGGCACCTCATTGGAGCCCCTGCAACTTGCCTACTCCACGGTGGCCTCCTCCATTACGTTGGTCCTCTCTGTAATTGCCTCTCTCTCTTCATGACTATGGGACTGAATTTGAAATATTGTATATTCATTGAATGATATTGTTCAAGAACCATAATATCAAACATATTATGTTTGATCTCAGAATTACTGTAGATTTTCTTTGTTTGTTTGTTGGTTTTGTTTTTCTGACCTACCTGTAAGCAGAAGAGTGTCTTGGATTTTTCTATCAAAAGAGCCTCTAATGATTGCTTGAGCCTGGGAGGTCAGTGTTGCAGAGAGCCATGGTGATGCCACTGTACTTCAGGCTGGGCAACAGAGCAAGACACTGTCTCAAAAAAAAAAAAAAAAAAAAAATGCCTCAATGATTTACATATACTGACTGGGTTGACAGAATTAATTTAGCATTAAAGTGAATGCATTCCATTGCCTTCAACAAACATTCCATTACTTGTTTTGTAGTTGAAAGTTTCAGGTCATGAAATGTAGGTTTTTCTGTTGAGTGAATATTCTAAAAATGAGCTGTAAATGTCTAAGGATGCAAAATAAATAACAATAAACACAATAATTGTTAACTTTGTGCTACTTCATATCAGGCAATGTTAGAAGTATTTACGTATATTATCTTATTTAATATTAGAATCAATCCTATAAAACAGGTATTATTATCATCCCTGTTTTACAGTAGGGAAAACTGAAGAACAGAGAGTTCAAGTGACTTGCTTAATGTCAAAGTGTTAGTGGGTGGCATAGACAGGATTTGAACCAGGCAATCAGGCTTGAAGCTTCCTGCTTTCAACTACTAAATTATACCTCCTCTTGAGGGATAAGATTCTATTATGAGTTTAAATGAAAGAAAGTTCTTTTTTTTTTTTTTTAAACATAGTTGATCTCTTACTCAATCCTCTCACTCTTATCTGGAGCCTCTTCTCAATATTGTTTTGACTTGTAATTTATTATAAGTTTAACCAGGTCTCAGAGTTTAAAAAAAAATTCTATTAAGAAAATTCTACATGTATCATTTCTTTTCTGTTAAGCAGGAAGTTCCGTTTCTAAGCCAGATGTGATTACGCTACTAGAGCAAGAGAAAGAGCCCTGGATGGTTGTAAGGAAAGAAACAAGCAGATGGTATACAGGTAAGTGAGAAAAGCAGGCAGGGGGAAGCCATCGTTGTCCCGGACAGCCCATGTGGTCCGAGAGGATTCACATTTGTGAGATGTAGTTTGGAAAACTTAAGACCCAAGGCCTAGGCCGGGCGCGGTGGCTCACGCCTGTAATCCCAGCACTTTGGGAGGCCGAGGCGGGTGGATCACGAGGTCAAGAGATCGAGACCATCCTGGTCAACACGGTGAAACCCCGTCTCTACTAAAAATACAAAATATTAGCTGGGCATGGTGGCGCATGCCTGTAGTCCCGGCTACTCGGGAGGCTGAGGCAGGAGAATTGCCTGAACCCAGGAGGCGGAGGTTGCGGTGAGCCGAGGTCGCGCCATTGCACTCCAGCCTGGGTAACAAGAGCGAAACTCTGTCTCAAAAAAAAAAAAAAAGACCCAAGGCCTGTTGGATAAAAATGGTCAAGACCTGGGAAGGAAATAAAGATCACTGTAGGAGCTGTCCCTAAGGAACTTCATCATTCACTAATCACCTAATTTCTGTTATTTCCTTCCTCTTTTCATGTAGTGAGTTTCCTCTTTCTTTCCCAGCATAAACTTTAAACAGTTTTTAGAATTATATTTTAAGAGACAGCATCTTGTTATGTTGCCCTGGCTGGTCTTGAACTCTTAGCCTTAAGCAGTCTTCCTGCTTCAGCCTCCCAACCAGCTGGGATTCCAGGCATAAGCCCAAACTCCTGGCCCCCAGTGTAAACTCACTTGACCCCTAGTATAAACCTTTAACACGTATTTTGGATCCAGCTATTTTCCAACTCTACTTTTGCATTTAGATTTCTATATGTGTTTTCACTAAGAAATATATTCATATTCAGTAAGTATGTATGGAGTGTCCTATTCCTAGAAGGCACTGTGCTTGGCTTTGTCAATACAGTAATGTATAGGTAATGAACAAGACTGAGAAAGTCACTGCTGTCATGGACTTTACCAGTAGTTGGTGAGACATGCATCAAACAGGTAAGCAAATGAATAGATAAGGAATAGAAAATTGTGCTATAGAGACAAGGCAATAGGAGTGATGGAATGAGATGACAGCACTTGGGTGCTTAGGGTACTTGTGTTGAAGTGGGCATGCTTGCATAGAGATATGAAGTAAGGGTTCAGTTCTCCAGTCAATGTGAGCAGGAAACACAAAGATGGAGTAAGTGATGGAACAGTGGGAAGAGAGGTCTGAGAGTCAGGCCAGGGTCCATATCATATAGGGTTTTGACTGTCATTATGAGGAATGTGGGAAGTTCTCCAAGAGTTATTGATTTATTTTTAATTAATACCCAATGTTTGTACATATTTATGGGATACATGTTGTGTTTTGTTATATGCATAGAAGGTGTAATGATCAACTGTCATGGTATTTGAGATATCTATCCAATCTACAAGAGGAATATTTATCATTTCTATGTGATAGGAACATTTCAAGTCTTCTTCTAGCTATTTTAAAATATACGGTACAATACATAGTTGTTAATTAGAGTCCCTCCACTCTGTTACTGAACATTAGAAGTGATTCCTTCTATTTAACTGTGTATTTGTAACATTAACCAACCCCTCTTCATCCCTTACCCCTCACCCACACACCCTTCCCTGCCTCTGGTTTCTATCATTCTATTCTCTACCTCTGTGAGATCATCTTTTTTTAGCTCCCAGATATGAATGAGAACATGTGATATTTGTTTTTCTGACCTCCAGTTTCCCTCCATGTTGCTGCAAATGACATGATTTAATTTTTTAATGTCTAATATATACACAATAGTATTTTCCATTGTGTATAGTATTCCATTGTGTACATATCACATTTTCTTTGTCTATTTTCTGTTGGTGGACACTTGGGTTGAATCCGTACCTTTGGTATTGTGAATAGTGCTACAATAATCATACAAGTACAGGTATCATTTTGATATACTGATTTCTCTTCCTTTGGATTAATACCTAGTAGTGGGATTGTTGGATCATATGGTAGTTCTATTTTTAGTTTTTTGAGAAATCAGCATGCTGTTTTCCATAGTGATTGTACTAATTTACATCCCACCAACAGTATATAAGAGTTCCCTTTTTCCCTCATGTATATGTTATTTTTTATCTTTTAAATTGTAGCCATTCTGACTGGGGTAAGATGATATTTCAATTGTGATTTCAATTTGCATTTCTCCCTGATGAATAGTGGTGTTGAGCATTTTATCATATTCTCTTGACTGTTTGAATGTCTTATTTTGAGTAATGTCTACTCATATCATTTGCCCACTTTTAATTTGGAGTTTTTTTGCTATTATTTTATTTCCTTGTATATTCTAGATATTAGTCCTTTGTCAGAGAAATAGTTTGCAAATAATTTCACTCATTTGTCTATTCATTCTGTATATAGTTTCCTTTGCTGTGCAGGAGCTTTTTAGTTTAATATAGTCCCATTTGTCTATTTTTGGTTTTGTTGCCTATGCTTTTGCAGTCTTAACCATAAAATTTTTGCCTAGACGAATGTCCTGAAGCATTTCCTTTATGTTTTCTTTTAGTAGCTTTATAGTTGAGTATTATACTTAAGTAAAGTTGAGTTTATAGTTTATAGTTGAGTTTTATAGTTGAATCTTACCCTTAAGTCTTTAATCCATTTTCAGTCAGTTTTTGTATGTGGAGAGAGATTGAGTCTAGTTTCATTCTTTTGCATATAGATATTCAATTTTCCCAGCACCATTTATTATTTTCTAACTTTATTTTAGGTTCAAGGGCTACAAATATGGGTCTGTTATATAGATAATTTGTATGTTGTGGATGTTTGGTGTACATATTATTTCATCACTGAGGTAATAAGCATAGATGTTTTTGGAACTTTGACTTCCCTCCACCTTTCATCCTCAAGTAGGCCCTGATGTCCATTGTTACATTCTTTGTGTTCATGCATACTCTGTTTAGCTCCCATTTGGAAGTAAGAACATGCATTATTTGGTTTTCTGTTTCTTCATTAATTTGCTTAAGATAATGGCCTCCAGCTCCATCCATGCTGCTGCAGAGGATATGATCTTGTTCTTTTTCATGGCTGCATAGTATTCCTTGGTGTGTGTGTATCACATTTTCTTTATCCAGTTAGCTATTGGTGGACATTTAAGTTGATTCCTTGTCTTTGCTATTGTGATTAGTACTGTGATGAATATATGTCTCCATGTGTCTTTTTTTTTTTTTCTTGGTACTTCACTAGCAGGAACCATGTGTCTTTATATTAGAATGATTTTCCTTTTTTGTTTCTTCCTTGTGTGGTTTTGCTTTCATAGTAATGCTGGCCTTATAGAATGAGTTAAGAATTCCCTCCTCTTCAGTTGTTTTTGGAATAGTTTGAGGAGAGTTGGTGTTAGTTCTTTGAGAATTCAGTAGATTAAATTCAGCAATGAAGTCACTGGTCCTGGACTTTTCTTTGTTGGAGGACATTTTATTACTGATTAAATCTCATTACTCATTATTGGTCTTTTTAGGTTTCTTATTCCTTCCTGATTTAGTCTTGGTAGGTCCTGTATGTCCAGACCTTATACATTTCCTCTGGATTTTCCAGTTTCTTAGTGCATAGTTGTTCTTAGTAGACCCTGATGATCTTTTTTATTTCTCTGGTGTCAGTGGTAAAATCTCCTTTTTTCTTTCTGATTTTATTTCTTCTCTTTTCTTCTTGGTTAGTCTAGCTAGTGGTTAATTAATTTTATCCATGGTTTTAAAAAACTACTTTTCATTTCATTTCTCTTTTCTGTTGTTTAGCCTGCGTTTTATTTAGTTCTGCTTTGATATTTCTTTCTACTAATTTTAGGTTTGGTTTGTTCTTGCTCTTGTAGTTCCTTGAAGTGCATCATTAGGTCGTTTATTTGAAATCTTTCTACTTTTTGACATAGGCATTTATTACCATAAATTTTCCTTTTAGCAATGCTTTTACTGTATCCCATAGGTATAGGTTTTGGTATGTTGCATTTTGATTTTCATTTGTTTAAAAAATTTTTTTATTTTCTCCTTAATTTCTTCCTTGATCCAGTGGTTATATAGGAGCATGTTGTTTAATTTCTGTGTAATGTATAGTTTCCAAAGTTTCTCTTGTTAAATGATTTCTAGTTTGATTCCATGTCTGAGAAAAGACAATATAATTTTGGTTTTTAAAAATTTGTTAAGACTTGTTTTGTGTTCTAACATATGGTCTCACTAGAGTACATTGTCTGTGCTAATGAGAAGAATGTGTGCTCTGTAGCTGTTTGATAAAATGTTCAGTAAATGTCTGTTAGGCCCATTTGGTCTAATGTACAGTTTAAATCCAATGTTTCCTTGTTAATTTTCTGTCTAGATGATCTAATTGTGAGAGTGGGGCATTGAAGTCCCCAGCGATTATTGTTCTGGAATATATATCTCTCTGCCTTTTGATCTAATAACATTTGCCTTATATATCTGGGTGTTCAGCTGTTTGGATTATATATATTTAAAATTTTTATATCCTCTTCTTGAATTGATATTTTAATCATTATTTGATGACCTTCTTTGTCTCTTTTTGCTGTTTTTGACTTAAAATCTTTTTTTTTTCTGATATAAAGATAGCTATTCCAACTCACTTTTGGTTTCCATTTGCATGGAGTATCTTTTCTTGTTCCTTTACTTTCAACCCATATATGTCTTTACCAATGAGTTGAGTTTCTTGTAGGCAGCTTATAGTTGGGTCATGTTTTTTCATCCATTCAGCCAGTCTGTATCTTTTAAATGAAAAGTTTAATCCATTGACATTCAATGTAATTACTGATATGTATGTGAGGGCTGATTCTTATTATTTTATTAATTGATTCCTAGTTGTTTTGTATAGCCTTTGCTTCTTTTTTATTTTTTATCATTGCGGTTTGGTTGTTTTCTGTAGGGATAACATTTGAGTCCTTTCTCCTTTTTTGTATGTTTGTTGTGTCCATGGGTTTTATACTTTTATGTGTTTTCATAATGGTAGATATTGTCCTTTTACTTCTAGGTGTAGGACTCTTAAGCATATTTTGTAGGGCTGGTCCAGTGATGATGAATTCCCTCACCTCTTGCTGTCTCGGAAAGACTATTTCTTCTTCATTTATGTTGAATACTTTGCTGAGGATAGTATCCTTGACTGAATTTTTTCTTTCAGCACTGAATATATAATCTCATTCTATCTCATTTCTCTCTGTTGAGAAATCTGCTGTTAGGCTGATGAGAGTTCCCTTGTGAGTGACTAGATGCTCTTCTCTTGCTGTTTTTAGTATTCTCCTTTGTCTTTGACATTTACATTTTGACCATAATGTGCCATGGAGAAGACTTTTTTGTGTTGTATTTATTTGAGTATCTCTGAGCTTCCTGTATCAGGATGTATGCTTCTCTTACTAGAGTTGGAAAGTTTCCCGCTATTATTTCATTAATAGATTTTCTATCCTTTATGTTTTGTCTTCGTCTCTAGGACCTCGGAAATTCAAATATTTTGTTGTTTTATGATGTCTCATATGTCACAGAGGCCTTATCCATTCATTCAGATGTTCTGAGGAAAACATTTATCCTAAGGCTTAAAAGATGAGTTAGGGGCCAGGTGTAGTGACTCACGTCTGTAATTCTAGCACTTTGGGAGGCTGAGGTGGGTGGATCACAAGGTCAGGAGTTCGAAACCAGCATAGCCAATATGGTGAAACCCTGTCTCTACTAAAAATACAAAAATTAGCTGGGCTTTGTGGCGGGCAGCTGTAGTTTCAGCTACTTGGGAGGCTGAGGCAGGACAATTGCTTGAACCCAGGAGGTAGTGAGCTGAGATCATGCCACTGCACTGTAGCCTGGCAATAGATGAGTTGTATGTTTGTTACAAAGAGCCAGGCCAGAGAATTCTTGGAGGATGAAATAGTCTAAGCAAGGAAGAAGATAAGAGAAAGGTTATATCATGTTCTGGTTGCTAAAAGGAGGCAGTGGGTAGAGATCAGTCATAAAGGAGTACAGTGCCCTGATAGGAAGTTTTGTTCTCTGTGTTAAGGATTTGGATTTTATTTTCGGAGTAAAGATAAACCATTCAAAATCAGTTTTAAGTATGATTTGTAAACTTTGGTATAAATCAGAATCATCTGGTAGAGATATTAAAAATACAGCTTTGACTGGGTGTGATGGCTCCCACTGGTGACCCCAGCATGTTGGGAGATCGAGGCAGGAGGAATTGCTTGATGCCAGGAGTTCAAGACTAGCTTGGGTAACATGGCAGGACACCATCTCTACAAGGTAAAAATAAAAAATAAGAATAAAATAAAAATTGGCCAGACTTTGGACTGCAGGAAGACTAAAGAAAAAGAAAAACAAATTATCCAGACATGATGGTATGTGCCTGTTGCCATAGCCACTTGAGAGGCTTAGGCAGGAGGATTGCTTGATTCTGGGAGTTTGAGGCTGCAGTGAGCTATGATCATGCCACTGCACTATAGCTTGTATAATAGAGAGAAACCCTGTCTCTTAAAAAAAAAATACAGGCCGGGTGCAGTGGCTCATGCCTGTAATCCCAACACTGAGAGGCCAGGGCAGGTGGGTCACCTGATGTCAGGAGTTCCTGACCAGCCTGGCCAACATGGTGAAAGCCTATCTTTTCTAAAAATACAAAAATTAGCCGGGCATGGTGGCAGATGCCTATAATCCCAGCTACTCAGGAGCCTTAGGCAGGAGAATCACTTTAACCTGGGAGGTGGAGGTTGCAGTGAGCCGGGATTATGCCATTGTGACAAGAGTGAAACGCCCTCTCAAAAAAAAAGAAAAAAAAAATACATCTTCTCTAGTTAAAAATTCTGATTCTGCACATCTGAGTTGCTTGAATATCAATGTCTGTAATAAGCTTACCAAATGGTTTTGATTCACACCTAAATTTCACAAAATAAACCTTCCCCTTATGCACATCACCATCTTACCTAAACTTTCTTCATTACTGGCACCCTTTTTCTTTTTCAGGTCCATGAAAGTATTATATTTTATACTTAGGCCTTTTGTTTAATGGATTTTGTATGCATGTATGTTATAGGAAAATAAACTATGTTTGTCTTCTTCATTTCTTTCAGATTTGGAATCAAAATGTGGACCTGAGAAAATATCACCAGAAAATGATATTTCTGAAATAAATTTACCAAAACAGGTTATAAGGCAAATAAGTAAAACACTTGGCCTTGAGGCCTTTTATTTTAGAAATGTCTCAGAATATAGATGTAGATTTGAGGGACTACAGGGACATCAAGAAGGATATATCAATATCAATCAGAAGATGATCAACTATGAAGAAATGCCTACTTATCCTCATGCTTCTCTTATTCACAATACACATAAACCATATGAATGTAAGGAATGTGGGAAATACTTTAGTTGTGGTTCACATCTTATTCAGCATCAAAGTATTCATACTGGAGAGAAACCCTATAAATGTAAAGAATGTGGGAAAGCCTTTCAACTTCACATACAACTTACTCAACATCAGAAATCTCATACTGGTGGGAAACCTTTTGAATGTAAGGAATATGGAAAAGCCTTTAATCTTCCCACCCAGCTTAATAGCCATAAGAACATTCACACAGGTGAGAAACTGTTTGAATGTAAGGAATGTGGGAAGTCCTTTAATCGTAGCTCAAACCTTACTCAGCATGAAAGTATTCATGCTGGTGTAAAACCTTATCAGTGTAAGGAGTGTGGGAAAGCCTTTAATCGTGGTTCAAATCTTATTCAGCATCAGAAAATTCATTCCAATGAGAAACCCTTTGTATGTAGGGAATGTGAGAT